TAAATGACCAGCTATTCTGATCAGGTAAAATCCACTTAAGTAAATTTGAAGGGGCCATGTTATAAATTATTTTCCTAAGTTATAGAATTTTTATGGTTTATTTTCAATAACACGTTTTGAAGTTCTTTACATAAAATCCCTCTCACATAAAGTAATTTCAGCAGTTTGTTCAGTACCGTCTGGAATGAACCATATCAGAGTTCTGTCACTTTAAAAAAAAACAGCTGCTGGCCACGCCCACCCATCCCCAGCTCAGGCTGCTATAAGCTGAACAGCTCTGATATCTTGGATAGGCTCATGGTAGCGCTGCTACACCTCCAACAGCAGCTCTCTTCCAGGTGAGAGGTGGTTCTATTGTTATTTTTCCATTTACGACATCACTAACAGGGAGGGGGGGGGGGGGGGCTTTTGAAACAACTTGTTTTAGGCAAATTATTCCTAAAACCTCACAGTGACAGAAAACTGATGGAAATTTTACTTTTCACATTTGGACAGCTTAGGCAGTAATGTGAGTTTGGCATAAAAAGTATTTGTGATCCATATAAATCATTCTAAGGAGGAGTTCTGACACTTGCTCAAAGAAAGCCAAACACACGTTACCCGACTGACCCAAATCATCCTCAGTACAGTTCGATCTACAGGACCCTTCACACACACACACACACACACACACACACACACACACACACACACACACACACACACACACACACACACACACACACACACACACACACACACACACACACACACACACACACACATCTCAGAATCTGTTGTGTCCATTGTCTTTCTCCTTGATTTCTGACCAATCTAAACAGTTTCGTGTGTGTTGGCAGTCAGAACGCTCATCAGCATTTGGAATGGGGTTCTTCAACTCAACAAAACCCAAGAAGACAGCGGAGGACACGGGAAACTCCAGATGTATTCTAATTTCTGCAAGCTCTTAAACCAAGGATGCTTTTAAAAGCAGACGACCGAACAGATGTGTTTGCTGGACCTTTTTCTCTTGGCGGTAGCTGCATCTATTGGAGGGGTTCGGTTAGGAAGACGAGAGGTTTGTACAATAAAAGAAACAGATTAGATAATAAGTTAAAAAGTAAACTAATCTACATTCAGCCAGAGAGAATCAAGGAGGTTTTGTGTATTTGGGATGAAAAAAGAGCCAAACCTTGACTATTTCAGACTGAAAGCAAGAAGTTAAAGATTTCTCCTCAAAAGCATTTGAGTGAATTTCTTTCCTTTTATATTTCTAAACGTGAAATATCTGATTTGGTCTTTTCAATAGCTGATGTCTAACATAAGTGCTCTTCTGTTTTCAACATTTAGAACATTTTATTGAGAAAGTCCTTTAAATCCAGATCAGTTCCACTCTGGAGCTTTTCCACACACTTTTCTTTGAAACCTTTATCAAACTGACGTTATCTGAAGCTCCAGACAGCTGAACCTCACTTTTTCCTCTCAGTTGAAATGAACATTCTTGCATCTAAGGGACCGAGTTGAAAGGATTGGTGAACCGTCCACCTGGCGCTGCCTTATAGAAAGCATGGGCTGGATTTGATCTCCACCTTTCAGAGTCTTGGTTAATTCGTTGTGTCTGTTGCTTCCAGTGTTTTTAAAACAAATGCAGAAGGCCGACAGCTCTCAGCAACTAGGTTTTCCAGCAGAAAAAAATAAGCAGAGTGAGCGATGCTCCGGGTTTCTGTTTCAAACAACAGAAAAGGCAATAATCCAGATTATCATCATATTAGTGAGACTAACAAATTAATTCACATGAAATATAGATTCAGTCCATACTGACTTCTGTTGTGCATACATCCATACACACTTGAACAAGGATGCAAATAACACACACACACACATCATGGAAAATGGCTCACACAACTGCACCGTGTGCATGATTACAACATGGAAAAGCTCTGATCCAAACACACACAAGCAAAATTTGTCACACATTTGTCAGATTCCTTTGTTAACATTTAAAAAAACACAAAATATCCCAAAGCTCACACTCACACGCACGCACACACACACTCACACACACCTTGCTTTGTGGTTGAGAAACCTCTGGGTATCTGCCAGAATGCTCCCAGCGTTCATTCTCGGGGCCCCAGCCTTTTCTTTTCCAGCAGCAACGCTGCAATTTGGGTGTGCCGTTGGGCCGAAGATAAGTATAGGCTGACTAATGTGCACTTAGGATCCAGGGAGAAATACTTAGGACTAAATGTTTAATTTGTGTTTGTTCAACACATGTCCAATTTGGGGGCTGGTGTCTTTTTCAAAGAGCCCGACAACAAATAATTAAGACTTTCTGGATCGGCCGCAAGCTTTCAATCGTGGATGGAATCATTTTTTGGGGATGTTTTTATGTTATGAAGGTGAACGACATCTTCACAAAAACAACATCTGGAAACACTTTAATGTGCAACACTGCAGTCAGATGGAAGGAGGATGGATGTAAACGGGCACGTCAAGGCAGAGAACATCTCATCACTGGTTTCTCTTCTGATAACTTTGCCCTTCAACCATCACTAGTCTTGACTTTTTCAGCCTTTCCCACTGAAGGGTTGCTCTGCATCGCCTCCCGGGGAAAGGCCTCTCCAAGAGAATTTGTCGTAGTATTTATTTTACTTTCCCTTAGAAAAGCTGCAGAAAATGTGTTTTTTAGTCCGCTGTAACGCAAACAAGCATTTTAAAAATGCTGACGATTTCTTTAGCTTAACTATCTCATTAGGAGTGCATGTTCACATGTAAATCGAGACAATTGAAGTGTTTTTCAAAATTAATTACAGAATTACACTTAATGTTAAAACTGAGATTTGTGAGATTTGAAAGTAAACGCTCCAGAAATCCTGCATGCTGTGTGAAAATGTATCCTGTTCAACTTCAGACCCGTATTATTCAGAGAACTGGCTTTGATTTTAGTTGTTTTAATATTTTTTATTTAATTAAAAATGTAATTTAAAAATATCTTTTTTTGCTAGAATCTAATTAAAAGAAATAAAAAGTTTAATCATAACGGTCTAGTCGTTTTATTTTTAAATGAACAACAGATTCAAGTGTATTAGCTGCAGATTTGTTATCATTAGTTATTTATAAGCTAAGTGTAGGTATAACCCTGCTTCCCACAGAGGGACGGGGGAGGTGGGGGTGAGGCTGCAGGTCTCCCCCAGACAGCCATGCAGGCCGGAACAATGTGCTGAATTGGCAGCCTATATATAAGTCTGCCATTTGGATGCACTAATGCCACTTTACCTTATGAGGGAACGTCAGCCCGCAACACCTGCTCCAAACAGAATGCCACCAGAGAGCAGCTTCAGCCCCCCGGATTGTTTTTCACACAGATACTCTCACTTAAGAAAGAGGTGCTGGGCTGTCGTGTGTGTGTGTGTGTGTGTGTGTGTGTGTGTGTGTGTGTGTGTGTGTGTGTGTGTGTGTGTGTGTGTGTGTGTGTGTGTGTGTGTGTGTGTGTGTGTGTGTGTTGGGGGGGGGGGGGGTTTAAAACGTGCGGATCTGTGACTTGGTGCGGAGTGAAGCAGGCGCACATGGACCGAGCTGTTCTGAGACTTTTGATGCATGTAGAGAAAATGTTAAACATCCAGAATAAGAGTTGGAATAATTTAAAGTGATTAAAAATTGTCTAAATCAGTGAGACGGCTGTTTGGAGTTTCCTGTTATTAAACTCTCCCCTGTCTCCCCCACACCTCCCCCTCCATCGCTCCGTTACTGTAAAAAGCTCCTTATCTGCGGGCGACCAGACGCTTATCGAGGAGGTGTGTGTGGCTCCGCACGCGGGGAACACCCCGAAGCGTACTTATCGCGCATCTCCACGCCGGTGCCGTGTGCCTTGTCCTCCCGTAGTTCCGTCCTTTCCGAGTCATCCACGGGACAGGCTGCCCCCTCCCACCAGGACCAGGCTGGGAGCTGGGCCGTTCTGGGATCAGAACCGGTTCCGTGTTCAGTTTTTTTTTTTTTTTTTTTTTTTTTTTGGCCCGCAAAGTTACAAGGTGAGGACGTTTAATCAAGCAGAGCCGACACAAACAAACAGAACCAAATTAGAATCGTGCCCTTGTTTGGGTCTAATTTAATGTATGACTCACGCGCTCTCTTCCGGGGTCAAAGCCGAGAGTTCACCTGCTGAAAGAGCCTGACCTTTGGGTCTGGACCCAAACCTGGAACTGCGGTCCTGCAGCAGAGGTGCGTTCATGGACAGATGGGCCGCTGTCACAGAAAATCTGAAACTTCGGGGTGACTAAGATTGTTTTTGTTCTTCCTTCAATGTTTATCTGAAATATTACTTTTTAAAACACCCAAAACATTTTTCTTTTATTTCTGCAGGAACTTTGGTAAATTAATGCGCTCCCCTTCTTTCTCCGGTTTTTGCACCACTTTCAGCCCTTCTGATGACGATCCGGAGAATAAAACGCTTCTGCGTGTTTGACAAAAAGCAATCACCTGAAATTAGCGGCGTTTAATAGGGCTATAATAAGGTGTGTGTGTGTGTGTGTGTGTGTGTGTGTGTGTGTGTGTGTGTGTGTGTGTGTGTGTGTGTGTGTTTACAACTCAAGCTGGATAGAAAGTTGATTGACTTTGTAAAGTCGATTCTTATTTCAGAGCTTTGTGGACAAAGGAATTCTAATAAATATAATTTATTAGAATTTATTTATTTGCATTAGAATAGGATAGAAGAATACATAATTAATCAAACGTTTTATTCAGATCTAGTTGCGGAGGATTTTTTTGTGACACCAGCCAAGTTCGGGAAAACTTTTTCTGTGTTTTTGAATTCTACAACTCTTCTAAAACAGACGAGCGCGCGCTCCTCCGGGTTTATAATCACTGTGCAGGTTCAAACACTCAGGTGGAATCCAAATCTGCAGCTGTCATCGCTGCACATTGCGCTCCGGAGATAAGCCAAGTGCGCACCGACTTTTCAAAACAAACAACCCCAGAGGACACGCCGGTACCGGTACCGACTGGAGCAACGGGACTCCGCTTACCTGGATTCACTTCTTCCACGTGCGCTGCGCGTCCTCCTAGTGGAGTCAGAACCGGTCTCAGTTCAGGTGGACTTTAGATCCCGTGCGTAAAGTCACCATCGCTGTTTGCAGCCTGTTGGACTTTGTTAACTCCTCCGCCTGCACGCGCTCTCAAACTTCAAACCAGACACCTGTGAGTCTGGAGGAGGCGCCGATCCTGCAGGACCCGCCAGGAGAGTCCCTGAAAGATAGTTTTGTTTTGTTTTTCCTGTCCGGCACCGAGGCTTCAGTGAGAGTGCAGGGCACTGTCGGGCAAAGAGGCAGTGGAAGGATAACCCCTCCTCTCCCTCCTTCCGTCCGTCCTCCCCCTCCCTCCCTCTCTCACCCTCTCGCTCCCTCAGTCCGTCTCTGTCACTTTCTTTAACTGTAATATCCACAGCCACGAGATAAACAACAATAAAAACAATGTTGCCGTTTTTTCACCAAGTTTTCACTTTCTCGATACTTCGTGTGAGTGAAAATCACGTTTTGGTTAACAAGTGCTTTTATTTGTACAGAAAAAATCTTAATACCCAGTTCAAATATTGGGAATAATTTAAAAGGAACGCAGCAGAAACTATAATTCACTTAGTCCACAAAGAAACGATTTTCTTTTATCTGTTATCAGAAAATGTGTTGAAATGTAGAATAAAATGAAAACACGTTTTTGGATAGACACATGTTTGTTGCGTTCATTATTATTATTATTATTATTATTATTATTATTATTATTATTATTATTATTATTATTATTATTATTATTATTATTATTACTATTATTATTATTGTTGTTGTTATTGTTGTAGTTGTTTTCGTTGTTGCTGTCGTCATCCTCTTCCTCATCATCTGCTTTTACACTCCCTCTCTCCTCCTTAGCTGATAAGTTTCACAAACAAACCTACTCGTGAACCTCGAGAAGAACCCAACAGCTTCAACGGATTTGTTCCAGAAGATAAAAAGTCTTAAAGTGGAACAAAAGTCTCTGGATGCTCGGAGCGTCGTGCAGCTGTGAGAAGAGTCCGACCCGCGTCTGACACAAGTTTAGCATCCTGTCAGACGCGCGCCTCGTCAGCGCTCTGTCGTCACGTTTATCCTCGAGCGCCACCTTTTGGTGGTTAACTGGAAACGGTGCTTGATCAGTTTTTGTTTCTCAGCGAGTAACAAATTCATTCCAAAAACACAACCCAAAAAATCAAGTTAACTAAATTCATGGATGCAACAGAAACTTTTTTTTTTACTTGGAATTAATTTCAGTGACAAGAACACAAAAATCCTCACTTTCTAAACTGAATATGAGCACCTTTCGTCTTTAAGTTTCCCAAAACAAAAATTATATTTATGGATCTTAATCTCAAATTACAGAACAGGACATCCTTCACAAACATCAATATGCAAACATGATCAACCCATCGATCCACACGTTGTTTCCTGCAACTAATAAAGATCTTTCCACACCCAAATGTGGAGATAGAACTCAAAACGTTGCTGAATTTACGATGAATCAAGGTTAGATTAAAATCAGACATTGCTTTTGAATCATGGTTCAACAAATTATTTAAAAAGAAAAAACGAATCACACTGGTCTGGACTTGATAAGATCCTTAACTTTAGACTCACTTACTCAAAATTTTAGGCAGTCATGTGATTTCTACAACCTACTGTGAGACTCCTCCACACCTGTTCACAGGTATTCTGGCCCACTTCAATGGCTCATTATCATGCTGGAGGACCAGTGGCTAAATACTAAAGCCAAGCTCTCTGACACTGTGGAGCACTTATGTTTCCAGAAGGTCTTGATTGAGATTTCATTGGAGCCTGAACAGATTCAGTACTCTCTCTAGTCTAGAAGCAGCAAAGCTGGTCCAGACTATCCAAACCTCTTCCATGTTCCATAGTAGACCAAACAGTGAGAAAGGTTGTCAGACTGAAGAAGGAGACCTATCAGGTCTTTTCAGCCCAAGAGGCAGCTGATAGGTACCTGCAATCCAAAGGGAACACCGCTCTGGGGGTCACTGAAACAAAAATCTGATCTCAAACATTCGTTGGGGTGGTTCACAAGTAAGGTTGAAGAAGTCAGGATGAGAAGGAGCTCCTGCAAACCCGAGACTGTGATTTTGAGTCGGAGGGTAGAATGCCTTCTCCAGGTCAGGAATTGAGGTCCTGCCTCAAGTGGAGGAGATATATTTTAGGCCCTTGTTCATGAATGAGGGGAAGATGGAACAGTTTGGATTGGTGCTGCGTCTGTAGTGATGCGGGCATTCTGCAGGCGTGTCATGGTGAAGAGAGCTGATCCAAGGGACGAGGTTCTCCATTTACGTCAATCTACGTTCCTACCCTCACCTATGGTCATGAGCTTTGAGTGGTCACCGAAAGAATGAGATCACAGATACAAGCGACTGAAATTAGATTTCTTTGCTAGCCTGGCAAGCCAGACTAGATAAATGTATTATTTAGTCTGGCCACGCTCCATTGACGGCTCTCGGTTGTGGGGCGGGTTCTACCGTTGTCTTTCAAATGATCTCCGCATTCCACTGGACAATGAATGTGACATACTCTTGTTTCACTCTGTTGCATCAACCCACCCACCAGGCATATAGAGTGCCCTGATTGGCCCACAAAGCAGATAAAGCTCTGTGATTTGTTCACTAAGCAGATAGAGCACTATGATTGGCCCACCATTATGGACCAATCACAGCTCTTTATGTTTTTAAACCCCTCTAGAGAGCTGTGATTGGCTAGCCAGAGTCCTGGTAGGAGCTGCGGAGGTTCCAATGGAGCATGCCTAGACCAAACTTTGCAAAGCAAGAATTTGGTCTAGTTCACTAGGCTAGGGTGGCTGGGCTCCCCCTTAGAAATGGGGGTGAGAAGCTTAATCATCCAGGAGAGGCTCAGAGAAGATTGCTACCCCACACCAAAATGAGCCAGTTGAGGTAGCCCTTGCACCTGGTGTCAGGGTGCCTCCTGAATGCTCTTGAGGTTTTCTGGGCGTGTTGAACCAAGAGGAGGCCTAAAGAAAGTCCCAGGACACGATCGGGGGAAGTTTCCCAGCTGGCTAAGGAACACCATAAGCTTGATTGTTACCTCTCTGTCTGTGCCAGCATGGAGACATGCAACACCATTATGCATCCATGGGATCAGTGGCAGGCCCACAACTATAAATGTTTTATTTTGTTTTATCACAAATGACACAACTTCAATGGGATGCACGTTAACACCAATAAATCCATAGATTTTAATGGCTTTGTTCCAGGGGACGGAACCTCTTGAACTAATGAGGACTGAAGTTGTATTTATCCTCCTCCACACGTAAGATTTCCAAACACTAGAAAGAACAGGGAATTTGTGCCCTCTGCTGGCAAAAAACAGAACACTGGTTTCAGACTGCATTTAGAAAAAAGGGAAGCTGGTGAGTTGCTGCCTCCAGCGGCTCAAAGCTGTTACTGCACTTGTGGTCTTTAGCCTGGTAGAAGAGGATATTTTAACCTCCTTATCTTACTGGAGCCTTAAAATGTCTTCATTTTTCGTTCTTTTGGGTGTGTGTGTATGTGTGTGTGTGGGGGGGTGGGGTGGGGTGGGGGGCTTTGTGTGCAATGCAACTCTTTTGCTGACCTATGACTGGGAAACTCTGCTAGAGATTTGATCGACTGATGGCGTGGTGAATCCAGAAACATGGACAGAGTGGAAAGATTCCAGTGTCTCATCCGCATCCCAGTGCCATTCAGAGCCAACAGTTGCATGCTGGATCAGGATTGTTGGAGGAAGCATTGTAGGCATCGTGGAAGGCGTGGTGAACAGCATGTGAGACTCTGAGCCTTGGTCCCGTAGGAAGCTCGCTGAGCTGTCTGGTCCCAGCCATCATCTTGTGGCACCAATGCGCCTACTGGATCCTGCTCCAACCTGCTCAGTGCAGCTAGTGAGATTCTAAGTGCACTTCCGTGCACTTTCCCAGTGTCTTGCTATCAATGGAGGGGAGTCAACCTGGTGAATCTGCACCCTGTGACCTGCTGGAGTCGTGTTCAATGGACTCAAATTGCACCAGATAAGCATTCTTGCCATTTACCTGGTTCAGTCTGGTCCACACCTGGTCGGTAATGAACAAAACCTTTATTTTGAAATACTTCTTTGAGGCACAGGGGCTGGAACTTCTGTATATCAGTGAGAGCTGGCAGCTTATTGGGGATTCAAGTGCCTAGTTGGAACTACTACCAGTGGATTGTAGCTTTTTTAATGTCTGAGGGTCTTCTGGCAGAGGCAGTGGGCTGATTGTCATCCATATAAATCTCAATTTGACTGTAAACAGCTTTTTCCATTGAATCTTCCTCCAGCTTTGATGTGTGCTCATTTGTGGCATTGATATATCCTCCTCCTATATAATTTGGACTTTTTAAAGGACTTCTCTGACTTCCTGGCTGTAAGCACGTTAAATGTATGATCTTGTCATTTTAATAGTCACGTGTGTTCCCTGAGAAGCCAATGGCTAAAGACTTTCTTCAGCTACTGAGTTCTTTTAATTAGTCACAGTGGGTCCTACCTATGCACAAGGACACACCTTGGATTTGATGCTCTCTCTTGGTCTCCTTACTGCTGACATTGAGATTATGAGCCCATTTGAGGTCACAATACCCAGTCTGCCCAGAGTAAGGGACCTCCTACGGCCTCATAAACATTCTGTGAACGTAAAAAGAAGCCTTTGTCATCCTGATGTCAGGACCAGTTTTTGTTCAGGACTTGGACCCTGTTGGACCTCCAAACCTCAGTTTTCAGCAGATGAAACCTCCACGTTTGCTTGGTTTGTTTACTGGCCCAGCTGGTCAAAAGTTTCACTGTTTCCACACTCTTTCACGATATTTCGTTAAAGACTGCAGTTTGCATTCAAAAGGATGTTGATTTGATGCCAGGGGTCGGCAACCTGTTCCCATCAAAAGCCATTATTACCCGTTTCCCGCAGTAAAGAAAACACTGGGAGCCACAGCAGCCGCAGCGTTGTGGGCGGGGCCTACCCTCAGACAGCAGAGAGCTGCTTTAACCAATCACAACAGGTGACAGCAGCCAGTACCGGTCGCTCGTGTACGTCAGTTATCTTTAATAAAAAAGATAATCAATAAAATGATTTATATAAAGTGGATCCAGAAGTTGTAGCCTGTCTCTGCCAACAATATTTTGATATTTTTCACCCTGTTGGTGGTTTTACTGAGCAGGTGCCACTTTTGTCATACGTTTCTTTTTAAAACATGTTTAGACTGTTCAGAATACAAATCCAGGCTCTGTCACGTTTGATTGTTGTAATTAAACTTTGTAGGTGGGGAAGGTCAGAAAAGGATCCGATCATTTTGTTTTTCCCTCATTTACAGTGACGGAGATAATGGTGCAGTGCGCCTGGCTCTGGTGTTAATCAAGTTAAATTTGTAACAATTTTCACAAGAATACAGAACAGTTAAAAGTAGGGCTTGTGTTGTGCTGACCGGATAGTTCCCGTGTTTGACCGTTTATTTTGACGGAGAAAGAATAGAAAGAATTACCCCGACACATGCAGACAAACTGACACTTTATTCCACGCACATCGCAGATGTAGCTAAATCACTGAAGAAAAGATTCCCATCTGAACATCTGAGCTGGACACCGCTCAGCGCAGCTCACTGTCAGCGTGTACTACATAAGGTACACAGCGAGCTGAAGATGTGGAGAGGGGCTTGGAGTGCGTCGCAGAACCAGAGCGCATGCGGGAAGATTCCTCCGACTGAAGCGAGTGTTTTCCAAACCCGATCTTTCAGAGAGACTTGTCACAAATCCCTTTTCAGATAGACATTCTGGAATATGTGTGGACAATTCAATCCGGTTTTTAACCGGAACTGTGTTTTCAGACACACCACTTTTGTACCGGAACTTGTCATTTCGGCTGCCTTCACACAGCAGGGAAAAGTTCCAGATGTTTGGGGGGGACATAGTGCGGCGGACGTACTTGCGTCATTTACCCAAACAAAGCCATTCAGTCAAACATGGCAGATGAAGAGATATAATTCCTGTCACTGATCTGACTTATGTTAAGCATAATTCTGCGCACACAAAGACGCATAAGAGACCTGGATGATGAAGCTCAATGGTTAAAAGGAATCACGGAAGCGGTGTGATGCGCTCCGTCGCGCGTCTAGGAGACGGCACTGTAGGAGGCGAGCTGCCATCGTTCGCCGCATGCTACAGGAGCGAGCTATCTAGGTGCGCACAGCGTCCCCCGGTCCCCTCCTCCTCCCCCTCCTCCCTGTCCGGAACTCAACCTCACCAGTCTGAAGCAGCCACCTTGTCCGTAACAAGTCTGGACCTGTTACTAGGGGCTTTGTCCGGTTTAATTACGGAAAACGTTATCCGGATGTTTGTATTCAGACACAAAGGTCTTACGGACAGAGTCCTGAACATTTCCGTTTTTCATGGCCTGTCTGAAGGGGACTTTAGAAAATGTTCCCTGATTATGAAACTTTGGCTGAATAGTGCTTGTTCCTGTCTCCAATGTGGCAACGCATCCAGGAGCCGTCTGAGGAGAAGCCCAGAGTCGCACATCCTCTTCAGCTCAGAAAGCGCCTATGATTACGCACGAGCGTGACGGTCAACCCGGTCTCACAGCAAGACCGGGTTGGAACTGTTCAGGTTTACGCAGACAAGCTTTACATTTAGAATTGGCTTACAGATGTAAAATGTATGCAGTAAAATATAAAGCTTTTTATTTAAATATCCATTCATTATTTTACAAGCACAGAGAGCCGCATCAGATGGATGGAAGAGCCGCATGCGGCTCCAGAGCCGCGGGTTGCCCACCCCTGGTCTAGCCACTACGTATCGAGTAGGGAGCCTAATTCACTTCATGGGTCCTCGGAAGAACGAAAAAAAATGAATGCAAGTCAATGGAGCTAAAAATGCTATTTTCTAATTCCACTTGTTTTGTGCCATGGATTTCACATATGATGTCCGTGAATTTTAAATACGCATTTTGATACCAAGAATGCGCTTATTTTCGAACAGGGGGAAACGCTATTTTAGATTTTATGTGAAAATAAGTCCAGGACTGCAAATGTGCTTCACAAAAGTGACGTCATCGAACCAGACACGAAGAAAACTGAGGGAAAAGGGCTGTAAGTTCAGCAAACGTCCCACAGCAGGAAAGAACCACCATAAATCTGGTCATTTGGTAAGTAGCAGCTACGCTAGGGGGGAGGAGCTTATGTGGTGACGTCGCATATGCAACGTGCTGATTTCTAGTTTGTAGTCATGCTAATTATAAACTTTTACAAGCTGATAAATCTTTAAGTACGTGACTGGTGTGGTCGAAACACCCGTCTTTACTATTCATTTAAATAGCAGTACAACACGTGTGATCCAGGGCGTAAGGCAAAGCGGGTTAGAAAATAGTGCTTTTAGCCCCGTTGACTTGCATTCATTTTTTCGTTCTTCCGGGGACCCGTCCTGCGGAAGTGACTTAGGCTCCCTATTGTTCAAATAAAGTTGTGTCGGCCCGCTCTGCCAGTGATAGACAGCTCAATTTTCAACACAATACCTGTCTGCAAACAGCTTTGAAAGAGACAAAGGGAGGCTGTTGTCTCCCGCTCTGCTGGGATAAAGCAGATAACTGTTTGCAGGCACGATGGCCAGAGGGCATGTCATAAGCACGGTGCCGTGTCCTCCCACTCCGCTAGAAGGCAGCGGCTCCACCATGACAGCATTGAGCAGCCATCTTGCAGCGAATATTCCTCTCTGGCGTACATGCGCTGTGTCTACTTGGGTCGAATGCACAGTTGCCATATGTGACCTAGAGGGGAGGATGCTTTGATCCTAAATCGTAGGTAGAGAAACTTAAACAATAGCAGAGGCTTGCTCATAAGTTAACAATAATTTTATAAACAAAACCAAATATGAGGTTCACTGAAATAAAGCAAAGCCAGGGGACTCATTCATCAAGCTTGCTTACACACAAAACGGGGTTGGAAAACTGCGAAAGCAACTTTCCACGCAAACTTTGGGATTTATGAAATAAAACTTAGCGGAAAAATGTGCGCAACTTTAAGTTGACTAAGGACCTGGCTTACGCACATGTTGGACATGGAGAGCACCTGCAGTGCTGCTGCTGAGAAGGATAACATTATGAAATCCAGCAGCGTTATCACTTATACTGTATCATGCGCACACAGAACAAGAGTCACTGGGGGGAAACTACGAGATTTGGTCTTGTTTTATATTTTAATGACGGACACATTTGATCTGCATTAATAAATTTCTTAAACATTACCAGTCTCCTCTGCATGGTCAGTGTCTCTCTCATTCCCCGGCACAGTGCCACACATGCTTGCCGGTCCGAGCACTGCTGAGATCATAATGGCGAGTGGTGGGGGTCAGAGATGCCACACATGCTGGCGGTGGCAAAACAACTTTTTTTTGCCTCCACCTTCAAATCTGACTATTTTTTTGCATCCGACACAGATCTCTCTGAAGAACTCAGCATTGATGGCTTCAGCAACGCTGTGCCACTCTGTGGATTTTCTCTCTTTTTTTTTTTGCAAAAACACTTCCTTTCGTTCCTCCACCTCACCCACAGGTACCTCAATTTCTGCTTCGGTGAAATTGCGCTTCCTTGATCTGTGGTCGCCATCGTTAATGGTGGAGCGCTGCAAAGAGCCGGCTTATGTATGTGCATGAGATAGATCCACTTTTGCATTGACCATTTAAGGCAGAAAGTGGGCGTGGTGAGGGCGGGATGTGATCAAAAAACACCCGAGCACATTTCTAGGTAGAGTGATTTATAAAGCGTGGATTGCGTGCAGCTGTGCGTACTCCATGTTTTATAGATCACAAACCTACTTGGTGTGAGGACGTTGTTTTTGCTGAGCTTAAGTACGGTTTCAGTAAGGATTCTACGCAATGTTTGATAAATGAGGCCCCAGGTCCCTCACCACTGTCTGTACACACGTCTGCACCCAAAGAGAGGAATTCGGCTTTCTGCAGCTACAGCCCAATCCCTCTAATTAGAACGGCCTCGTAATGAAGCACCTGGCTCGGCGGCGCTGCACGTCGGACCAGAATTACTTCCGGGAACTAAGGTGACCCGGTTACACATAGGTTACCGTTTACAGTTTCAGGTCAGACCACCCGTGTTCACCGCCATTGTGCAAACGGTGGTGAATGCTGACACAGCGGTAGTGTTGAGAGGAAATTCAAACACTATTAACAAAAAGGAGCTGCTCGAACAGTCCCCATTGAGGAAACAAAGGATGGTACAGCTGTTACTTTGTTGTCCCAAAAAAAGGGGGAGGGCTTCGTCCCATTCTGGATCTCTGTATGTTCAACAAGTATTTGCGCATGTACAGATTCGAAATGCTAACGCTCAAGCAGCCGCTAAACGACAATAGCGCTGAGGATCGGTTTGCTATGGTCACAAAAGCATACCTTAATATGGGGAATCATCCTGGTCACAGGCAGTTCCTGTGCTTCACAATTCAATTCAATTCAATTCAAAAATACTTTATTAATCCCAGAGGGAAATTGATTGCTGTAGTAACTCAGAATAATAATAATAATCAAGTCATCAAAGAGTTGTTCTATATTACAATGGCTGTTGGCAGGAAGGAAGTTCTCCAGTAGCGGTCAGTGTTGCAGCCAAACTGAAGAAGCCTCTGGCTGAAGACACTCTTCCGTTGTCGGACAGTCTTGTGAAGAGAATGCTCAGGGTTGTCCATCCTTTTCTTGATTCTCTGGAGAATCCTTCTTTGCATTATCTCCTCCAGCGGTTCCACAGTCGTCCCCAGAACAGAACCAGCCTTTTTTATTAGGCTGTTGAGCCTTTTCAGGTCCCTGCTTCTGATACTGCTACCCCAACAGACGATGGCTGAAGAGATTACACTCTCAACAACAGACTTGTAGAAGATCTGCAGCATCTTGCAACAGACATTGAAGAACCTAAGCGTCCTCAAGAAGTGCAGTCTGCTGTGTCCCTTCTTGTAAACGGCTTTGCTGTTCTTTCTCCAGTCCAGTCTGTTGTCCAGGTGAACTCCAAGGTATTTGTATTCCTCAACCACCTCCACTTCTTCTCCCATGAAGGAAACAGTGTTTGACTCCACCCTGTTTCTTCTGAAGTCTAAAATCATCTCCTTTGTTTTGTTCACGTTCAAGGTCAGATGATTGTTTCCACACCATGCCACAACGCGCTCCACCAGCGCTCTGTACTCAGCTTCCTGTCCATCTCTGATACACCCGACAACTGCAGGTTCATCTGAGTATTTCTGTAGATGACAGCTCTCTGATTTGTACTGGAAGTCTGAGGTGTACAGGGTGAAAAGGAATGGTGAGAGTACACGTTCGAGGGGAGAGCCTACAAGTATATGGTTCTCCCTTTTGGACATGCTCTAGCTCCTTGCACCTTTTCTAAATGTGTGGAAGCTGTGTTGACACCTCTCAGAGAGAAGGGAAACATGTCTTTGCCTACTTGGATGACTGGGCTCTGGTAGAGAGTTCTCGCATGCAGACGGAGGCTCTCCTCTCCTAGGGTTTTTTCCTCACATTCAAGCCCTGGGTTTCTCCGAAAATCACAAAAAGAGCTCCCTGGTTCCAAGCCAGAGTTTGTCCTTCCTAGGACTAGAAATATGCTCTTGGTCGAGCAGGGTGCGCCTCTCAGACCACTGGATAACAGCACTCTGCAGCTGCATGGCCCACTTCTGGCCGGGAGCCAAACTGACACTCCGCACAGTCTTACAGCTGTTGGGCATGACGGCTTCCTCTATAGTCATAGTTACTCTCTGCCTGTTAGCGTTGGGTCTGCTCTCACCGTCTTTGTCCCTCATGTCCTCTTCTCCAGAAGTTGTCACCAGGGCCTGCATAACGGCTGTTCTCCAGGGTTGTTTTATTAGGGTTCTCCAATTGGAAGGGTGTCCGAACGCATGGTAGTGACCACAGACGCTTCCCTCAAAGGATGGGGAGCTCTATGCAAGGGGATGGCGGTGAGTGGGTATGGTCCCCGATTCAATCGGGGTTCCACATAAACTACCTGGAAGTGTCAACCGTATGTCTGGCCTTGAGGCATTTCAGTCATTGCCTATGAGGGCAGCATGTGCTACCACAACGGTGGTGTCATATATAAACAGGGAGGAACACGCCATCCTCCTCTACTGAATCTGACAGATACATTGCCACATTGGTGGAATCCCAATCTTCTGTCTCCCACAACAGTTTATGTCCCCGGTTGCCTGAATCACAGGACAGACTTGCTCTCGACCCGTCAAGGGAATGGAGACTTCACCTTGAGGTGGTGTCCCAGATGTGGCTGAGATTCAGCAGGGCAATGGTGGATCTGTTTGTGTCAAGCGAGGACACACACTGTCCCGTTCTCCAGATACTCTGGCACTGACAACTAGTCAGGAAGGCAAACATCATTTTAACCAGAAGGAACCATCCTGTTAGATGAGTTTGTCCTCTTCCCTTCAGATTTAAGGCACAGGCTACCTCCTATTAGATGCAATAGTTACAAACGTTCATCTGCATCTATGGCTATAAAAGCTACAAATCTGCAGTAGACATTCGAGATGGTCTGTGTTTGCTCTGTAAAGTATTTAACTGTTCTTAATCTGTAATGCTTTTGTTGTAGATTGCTTTTATTTAATGGAATTCTTTATTTGGAGTAGATCGACTTTATAAAAGGGTATTGTGGGGACGACGTTGAATGTGCACTGTGCTGTGTTGTTCACTCTGAACTGAACCAAGGTGGAGTCGGTTTTGTTCTTTTATTAAAACCTCAATATAAAAATCATACAAAAGAGGAAAAACACTAAAGTATCAAAACTAAAACTGGTTTTACATAATCATATTAGTATACAAGTCTACAGTCAAGTGATCAGGCATTGTGCGTTGCATCTGTGCTTGATGAATTTCCTCACTGAGACGCCCAAAGCAAACACCTTTTAGGTCACACGTTTACTTGGACTGTAAACATGTTCACACAGAAACAGCTAAGAGCTCAAATCTAGCACATCTTCTAATAAATTGTCATCTTTCTCACTCAGTTGCTGCAGAAATGATTAACAGACATTTTGTGGGCCCATACTAAAGATTTGCAACACAGGTAGAAGCTGAATTATTAAAAACGTTCAAACTCTGAAATGAGCTGAAAGCAGAGCTTGTGCAGCATGATTACAGCACAGCCTGGTGAGCCTGGGTTTTTCTGCTTCTTTGAGAAGTGGCTCTATTTTATTGGCTTATTATTCATAATTCTGCCTTCAAGGCACGGGTCCAGTTCCTCAGGCCTCAGCTGGAAGTGTGGGGTCATGTTGGAGGAGCGTGGGAGCCCCGAAACTGACCCTAAGGTTTTGGGGGTAGAATCCCTGAAGGACCCCATCCACAATGATATCAGAGAGACCTGCAAGACAGAGATTAGGGCTTAGCTGAGAATTAGCCGCTTTTTAGAATCCTTTTTTATTTTACAAACGAGAAAAACACATGGAATGCTTTTCAGCATTAAAATGTTAAGAGGTATATTTGTGCATCAGTGTGCTCCACAAGAGAAGTTAGGCCTTTCCTACCTGATGAGCAGTCAGAGAGGTAAGGATCCTGATAAAATCCCAACACCTGCTTATGTGGTAACTGATACCTGAGGAAACAAAAGTAAACTAAAGTCATCAGTCTCAAATTAGGCCATTTTCCCAACAGCGCTACTCAGCCTAAAACAGCTCGGTACAGCGTGGGTTAGCTCAGCTCACCTCATCGTGGTTGGTTTCACTTCCTGCTCCGTGACAAAAAGTGGGAGCTCCCCTCATAATGCACTGGGGGAAGGGGGGGGCATCTTTCCTTGAGGTACAAATATCTCGAGGTGATGCAGAGAAACACAACTCGGCACAAAGATGGTGGTGATGTTGAACATTCGACTCAGATTTGTGGCTTTTTGTCAGACTCTTCACCAGGAAGTGGCTGCAACCAGAAAGCTCCGGAACAACCAGTGGCAGCTGTGGTGGGATGCACTAACCATATATCACCATTAAGGGGCGCCTAATTACCATTCTTATGATAGAATCCACATTTTCTACCTCAACAACACCCACTGCCGCTAAACAAAAAGGCTGAAAAATGCTAAATACACTTAGTGAAAAACAATGCAATATCCACAGAAGCAGCCATTTAAACTCTCCTCTTTACACCAATAAAGTACCTTTTCTCCGCTTTGCCTTACGCCCTAGATCACACATATGTTGTACTGCAATTTAAATTGAAAGTAATGATGTGTGTTCTGACCACGCCAGTAACATACTTTGAGATTAATCAGCTTGTAAAATGTTGCAATTAGCATGACTACAAATCAGAGGTAGGAAGGTCACATATATGACATCACCACAGAATCTCCTCTCCCCTAGCGTAGCTATTGAACTTTAGGGATGCATCGGTGCCGATGCCGATACCAGTATCGGTATCTGTCAAAGTTAACATATACCAGTAACTGATACCAATGCAGATGCTTGAAAGTGGCTTCACTGTAACTTGTCAACCTAATATTTTAGTTTTGTGATCATTTATATTAACATATTTTACTTTTTATCTACCTCACAGTCTTTTCCTATTGAAAACAGAGAAGAAAATAAAACCTGTATTCCAATTCATTGCATTTTTTTTGTATGGTAGAAGTATCTGTATCGGTAATCTGTATCGGCGAGTACTCAGATCCAAGTATCAGTATCGTGTCGCTTTGGAAAAAAGTGGTATCGTTGCATCCCTAACTTACAGCTATTTTTCCTCTGATTTTCTCTGTCTGCTTCGATTACGTCACTTTGCTGATGTGCATTTGTTGTCCTGGACATATTTTCATCATCCAATATCTAAAATAATGTGTCACCTTGTTTGAAAAGGTTCTTGGCATCAAAGTATGTCTTTAAAATCCACAGCCATCATATGTGAAATCCATGGCGCATAACAAGCAAAATTAGAAAATAGCTCTTTTAGCCCCATTGAGCTGTTTTCATTTTAACATTCTTCTGGGGACCCATGGCCCTTAAGTAGATTGATGTGACTTAGACTCCCTACGGACGAGCCGCCACTGGACTCCACGCCCTAGTCAATCAGTGACCGACAGCTGTGATTCCGGCCGGGTCATGCACTAGGAACCACAACATTGCAGGGGCTGAAAGGTACAGGGAAACTTTGGGGGGAAATACCCAACTGTGCTGTTGGAAAAGGCCAGCTGAATCGCACCCAACCAAGTCACGCTGAGTAGTGCCCATGGAGAAGGCCTATGAGACCAGCCAGAGAGATAGTTCCTCCAGTGTGTCGTGGGTCGACCCACAAGGCTTTGACTAGCAGGACATACCAGAATCACCTGAGACGTCCAGCAGGCGTCCTAACCAAATGCCCGAAACACCTCACCTCAACCTCTCGATGAGGAGTTGTGGTTCTACTGAGAGTCTCTCCTGGACATCTGATCTCTTGAGCCCATCTCTAAAGCTCAGTCCCACCACCTTGAGGAGAAAACTCATGTCTGTACTCGTGATCTTGGTCTTTATACGTCATTACCCAAAGCTCATGACCATAGATTGTCTCATTCTTGCCGAGACCTTTTCATCACACCCGACACTTCATCCATTCCACCCTGCATCTCCCTGTTCTCAGGTCTACTCTCCTCATTCCTCTCTGGTTCAGACTAATTCTTGGTTAATATCTTAATTTAAAGTGTATTATTGTTTGTCTATCCTTTTAAATTTTTTATTGTATTATGTTATATTGTTTTGTGTCTCATTGTAAAGCACTTAGTGATTTTTTTTCTTTGAAAGATGTTACAGAAAAAACTGTTACTTTTATTACATTTATTATTTCTTAGGTGCATTAATATAATTGTTATTTTAAGTAAAGTACATTAGGGGTTAATAATGAAAAATTAAAATATAATTAGGATTAGGCACAGAGAGAGAGACTGACCTGTATTCTTGACTGTCCAGCTCATCAGACCTGAAGGCAGATCACACAGGTATTGAGAATTACTAATTAAATTCCTACTAGACCCATTTGCTGAACTGGGCCTGATATTAAAGCCATCGACTGCACCTGTAGCTGCTGACCCCTCTCAGGTATTCTGCCACAGGTTCATTCCAGTGGGAAATAGCCGACAGGTATATCAGGCTACTTCACACTGCAGGCCTTAATGACCAATTTTGATTTTTTTCAGTAAAACTGAATTTTTTTGTGTGGCCGTTCACACTGTGACTGAAATGCAACATCAGACTCTCTCCGGTGTGAACGCTCCGCGGCACCAAAGCGACCCGCATGTGCAGAAGACAAGTAGTCACTCTTAGTGGAGCCAAAACCAGGAGCGGTGGAGTTGTGATGTAATCCTGATCCTGTGGATTAACCATTAGTGAAAACTTTCACACCTGTTCATTCTTCCGTTTTGGGCTGGAAACTGTTTTACTTCAATTCAATTCAAGTTTATTTATATAGCGCCAAATCACGACAACAGTCGTCTCAAGGCACTTCACATAATAAACATTCCAATTCAGGTCAGTTCATTAAGCCAATCAGAAAAAATGTTTCCTATATAAGGAACCCAGCAAATTGCATCAGTGGGTCAGTGACTTTACAGCAATCCTCATACAAAGCAAGCATTTAGTGACAGTGGAGAGGAAAACTCCCTTTTAACAGGAAGAAACCTCCAGAGAATCCTGGCTCAGTATTGACCCTTTGCACCGATGTCACCTAATCACGTGGTGGATGGCAAAAGCCTGTAAACAGTGAGCAACACGATTACTAAACAAAGAGAAAAGTTGAGCCTGAAATTGTTTTTGCGATCAAAACAAAAACAAAACTCCTCCAGCATTCCTTCCAACTAGCTCATGCCCAGTTCAGTTATCAGAAGAAGTAGCACATCTAGCCGGGGCTCATAGAGAGCGGTATGCTAACTAGCTTACCAACGTTAGCTTACGTTCTCTCTGCAGCTGTTCACCGATGTAAACATGTTGCTGACTTTGCCTAAATTCACCCCGCTGGATTCAGAACTTTATGTTGTAAACAGCGTTTCACTTTACACAAAAGCTGATTGTTAAAAAGTCCGGATCCCTACCAGCTTCTGTTGCTGGTGGTGTTACCGGGTTCAGCTGCTGCTCTCACACCAGAATGAGAAGATCTCTGAACGGCGACGCTCATATAAATAAATAACGTCATTTTAACACACGTGATCATACATCGGAGCTTTAATATTGTTAATAATTGTCTCACTTTACACTACAGTGGACGGAGCGCAGCCTCTGTGGTGAAATACCCATCAGGATTATCAATAACTTGTATAAACACATCACATTTATCCCTGTCCCTGTCTTCCTCGTGAAATAAATGAATGTTAATCTTACCCGGTAAAAACATGTTCGCTGCTAATCTGAGGGCTGCTAGTCCGCTTGATTGATCGCTGCAGTTCATCTCCGTCCTCAGTCTCCATCAAAGATATTTAAAAAACAAAACGAGTTGAGTTTACATCCTTGTCTGTTAGTGCAGCCAACCACGCCGCAAGCTAAAACCATTTTACTGTCAAATCACCTAAACAAAAGTGATGAAAGGCTTCAAACTGGCTTGTTTCGACTAGCTTCACTTGAGTTTCTACGGGTGTAAACGGTCATCCAACATGGCGAAGGCGGCGGTCTCATGAGTGGCGTGACGTCACGTGCAAAGGATCAATAAGCAGCCATCCGCCACGACTCACTGGGGATCGAGAAGACAGAGCAGACACACACACACACACACACACACACACACACGAACTGTCCACATGCTGAAAGTGAGATTAGTCCCATCTGCAGCGTCCCTCAGCGAGATGTGAGAAGAATGCAGATATCTTTAGACTAGAGATGATGACAAAAACAGGAACGCATACTTGGATAAGTAACTTCAACTTGATGACGGTACTGGCATCATTTACCATCAGAAAACTAAAGGAAGCGATTTCGGTTCTGACCCCATCTCTGTGGAACACTGAAAGAACGGCAGGTCCGATCTGGGATTTTAAAAGTTGTGTGAAACTCATTTTTATTTGCTTGCCTTCCTGCATGATGGACAGTAATGTCATCTTACTTTATTGTATTTTACTCTGTTTAGATAGTTTATGTAACTGTTTTTAAATCCGCTCTCATCTGTTTTCATGTTTGCATGTTTTTTATGTAATAAAAATAAATAAGTGACTGCTGAATGACAATGAATGAATCTGAAACGTGAAACAGATTTGTGATGTGCAGAATTGAGTTGGCTTGAGGAAATAAACGTATCTGAAGTGTCGCCATGCAGCAGCATCGCCCCGATCCAGAACCAGAGGAATGCCTATGACACGTACAGCATCTGAGAAGAGAGCGCACGTCTTTGACTCACTCCGCGCTGCTGATCTTATTCCCCGTGTGGAAGTGTTTCACATGCAGGAAGTCTAGCAGCACCTGTGGCACGTCCTCGTTCTGGTAGATGATCTCCTGGCCAAGAAACAAAACCTTTCAGGGAAACTGAACTGAAGTCGTTTCACTCCTAAGATGTTTCATTCAAGTGGGAAAAATTCCCAACCGCATCAGATCCTTCAAAATACAGAAAGATTTTTTCAAAGTTCTGCTCCGAGAAGGTGTATTGAACCCTTGTTTGTGGGTGTGTGGACTTACCTGGATGTAATCCTCCAGCTCCTGCCTTCTCTGCTTCGTAGGTTTGGTTCTCAGATGGGGGTTCCTTTTGCTTGGAAAGTCTGGAGTTTGGATGATCTTCCGGAGCTGCAGTAAGCACAAGAACCATATCCTTTAAAATCTCCTACACCCGCTGCTGCATGAAGATCATTCATCTTGGTCTCCACAAACTCTGTCAGCAGGTCTGTGTGTGGGTTTGAAGTGGGGCTGGGCTGGCGTACTTTTCTGTGGAGATTCTGGAATTCACTGTTCCTTCTGAGCACATAATGTTTCCTCTCATTAAACAGAACTTCAACTCTGAAAAGCTGCAAAAGAAAAAGACACAGTGAGACACGAAGGACTTGTTCCAAATCAGCTGTTAAAACCAATGACGTCCAGGCCCACCTCCAGACTCTAGTCCCTTTGCTTTAGACCAACAGAAGAAGACAGAGACATGTCTGCCATGCTCCTGTAAAGACTTTGGCTGAATTAAAGAGTGAGCATGTGATGGAACATGTTGGAGGCAGCAGCTGAAGCACATGGCTTTTGTTGCTTATGATGATGTAAAGACTTCATCTCTCCAGCAGGAGGAGATTCAGAGCTTCCGATGCAAAGGAAGTGAACGTGCTGACTTCTTAACCACTTTATTAACCTGTAAGACTGATAAACCTTTATCCTACTGTAGTGACATCATCATTTCCCTCCGTGGAAAGGCCTCAGTAGAGCCTCGGTCTGGCTTGGAAACTGTTCCGGGATTTTGAGTCTCTGTGTTTGTGTCTTCTTGTTTGGATATTTTTTGTGCAATTGTTGGACAAAATGACTTGCTGTGGCATTAATTGCACTAATAGAGCGTTCAAGGAGTCTCCACTTCATTTTTTTCGTTAAGTAAAATAATATTTATGTATTTTAGGTCACTGCCGAGCTGAGCTTAGATGTTAACATGTACTGTTTAACCATGAAATTTAAATGTAATAGGGTAAAACCCAGTGCATTTAACATAATGCTGCATTTTAGAAAATGGGTTGAAATATCACATGTTGGTGGAGCTGGGTTCCGACTATCGGCTTGTGGAGCTCTCGGGAGACCGATGTTTTCCACCCGTTTCTCCCCTCCCCACAGCTCGACGCATCTCTGTCTGATCGCGGCTTCTGTTTGCTGCGCGGGTTGCCAACTTATGGAGCTCTGGGATGGAAACCTTTCCACCTGGTTCTCCCCAGCGGCAGCTCTGCGCATCTCAGATCACAGCGGCGCTTGTCTGCTGTGCGGTTGCCGACTTGTGGAGGTCTCGGAGACCTCTGTGTTCCACCCGGTTTTACCCAGCTGTCAGCCCGGCGTATCTCTGACTCAGAAGCTCTGGTGTTGTGCACAGTTAACTCCGGTTGTAGCTAGGTTGCTACCTCCGTTAGCTTAGCTCCCACCTCCGCGTTAGCTTTTGGTTACCTTCAGGGTAGCTTGTAGGTAGTTCGACCGGGTGTCGTCAGTTGATCCTAGCCTTACAGCCCCACCCTCAGCTCCACCTCTCTTCCCTTTTTTGGAATTGTCTGGGCTTGACGGAACCTGTGACACGGTCAAAATGGCGGTGGTGGCCACCTCCCATTTTGCCTCAAAAACGTGTTATTGGAGCCTATGGAAAGGAGATGTCCAGTATATTTATGTCGATGGTGCAGCACAGAGTCCCCCCTCCCCCCACCCAGCGCGCAGCGGCCAGATATAAACAAACGTGTCTGTTGAACTTTTAACTCCTGCAGCGTAGAGGAAACTTGTTAAAATACTTCAACACGGTGGACTTAATAGAAGCTTTAAAGAACAAACTCTGGACGGTGTGAGGTGAGTTTGTCTCACTGCAGAAACACACTGAGCATCAGCAGTCTGAACCTAACCTGTAGAATAATTAAAGTCATCCTGATAGAGCAGCTTCTCTGTGGTGGACCACACCAGCTTCTGCCACAATGACACACAAAGCTGTAAACATTTTAATTTCCTTTCTGAACTATTTCTGTTGAGTTTTAATGTTTAAAATCTGTTAGATTGTTACTGACAGCAGCTACATTTAAGTTTCACTTCCTGTTCTGACTGAAGCTGCTGCAGCATGGAGGTGTAGTTCTCAGTCATCCTGGACATGATCATCCTGAGAGTTTTAGCTGAAAACAGCTGCACATTTCTGGATATGTTGGAGACATTTAGCCTCTCATCCCAGAGGCTTCTTCCAGACTTTGATTGTGGT